AGATGTTGATCACTTATTTATGCATAATTCAGAAGTGATAACAATGGTCTTGTTTAAGACATAAGGAATAAGGTACTTTCGATTTCACCTTATTATTATGGTTCGAATTCTTATTAATTATGATACATGGAAGGGAGCGTGACGCTATGTCAGGCCTGTAACCGCAATGATTCGGTTAATAAAGTTCGATAAGGTGGTGACTTTTACATTTTCATATTAAGTGAGCTCAAATTAAGGATTGAAAATTGTAAAGTCACGCATATATGAATCAAGTGGGAGATTGTTAGAAATAATTTATTCCTAACGTTGATTCATATAATTAAGGTGTCATGCTCATATGAATCAGTGGGAGACTGTTAGAAATAATTATTTCCTAACAATGATTTATATAATAAAGGTTCTAATTCCATAAGGTACTCACGTTGATGATTAGTGATGTGTAAAGACGGAATTACTGGGTGAAATTCCTTCCCTCTCATTCTGTTAAAATTTAAGTTTATAAAGGTTAAAAGATGTATAATGGATAAGGTTATGGGTTTCACAATCCTAAAGGGATTTCTATTACTAAAGGAGGTCACATTCCTAAAGGGATTTCTATTCCTAAAGGAGGTTCCCCATTCTCTTGAAAGAGGGTTTCTCATCACATCTATAAATACCCAGGAAAACTCTAGGAATCTTAACGTTTTTCAAATCTCTAAGTTTTCTAGTCTCCGTATCATCAGGAGGTGAATAAGGTATACGGATCAGAGAGGTGAAGCATTATATTCTTGATTCATTCAATTTAGAGATTACATTTTCAATGGAACCAAGTAAGTCCTATCTTTCCTATTTAATTAAAAGTCTATGATCATGAATATTGTTTAGTTGATTGATTTGATTTACATGCAATCATTGTTAATTGTGCTTCCGCATTTAAGTTATAGCGTATAAAGGATTATTTAACACTTGCAGTCGGCTTATAGCAAATAGAGTCAAACATAAAAATTTTTTCCCAGATATCAAATTAAAAATTTTTATGGTTGGCCGTACTTTGGTTGTTGAAAGTTCCACGCCAAAAAAGAAGAATTTTTGGTGGCTGCGAAGAATTCGTCAACTCGTAGTTTTGCTTGCTTGTTTCTCTCCGAAACACATCAATTGAAAGACTATATATACCGCTGCATAGTGCTCTTCACTCTGCAAGTTCGCCACGTCTATTTCTGAAACCCAGAAAAACCAGAGATTCAGGAGGGCGCGTGATGCTAAAGTCCATTCTCCTCTGAATTTTTTGTGTGGACAGTCTCCTCTGTTTCAGCCGGTCTTGGATTTGCTATCGCCGTCTTGTTTTGGTACTTTGTGGTTTCTTTCTGGATGCCGGTCGCTCTTGACGCTAATCTCTCCAGTGGCCATGGTGCATGCCCGGTGGTTGGCGTGAGTCTCGGTGACAATGGGCCGCAAGAAGCTGGATTGGCGTGAATAGAGGTGCTGACTTTTGCCAATCAAATGCCCAACTCAAATCCCTTTTAGATTGCATGCAAGATGAATGGTGGACTGTGGGCAAACAAAACAAAAGGTAGAGTTTTCTTATTGGTGGGTGTGGGTGGTGCCCAATAGTCTACATGCATAGCATTGGAACAAACAAAGAGCAGACAGTCTACATGCACAGTGTTGGAAAAAACAAAGATTAAAAATTGCAGAGTTCATAAATTTTTAGAGTGTAATTTCACATTGTAAAAATGTTTAGGCCAAATTGTAATTTGTATAAGTTATAGGCTTATACTTAGAAAATTGTAATAGGAAAATATATGTATTTTAAGTCCGATTGAGTTGGTATTTTCACCACGGACACTTTAAGTCCGGTCGGGTTGGCCTTGCCATCACCGGCATTGTTAAGCCCGGGAAAAGTCGCGGCATCAAGCCCTACTCAGTATGCAATTCTGGTCTCTGGACCCGCAAGGACAATGGCCCGACCTACTGACCGCAATGTTGCATAAACTTTATTCCAGTTCTCTAACCAATGACGACCAGAATGTCGCGTAAACTTTATTCCGGTTCTCTAACCGATGACGACCACAATGTCGCGTAAACTTTATTCCGGTTCTTTAACCAATGACGTCCGCAATGTCGCGTAAACTTAATTCCGATCCTCTAGCCGATGACGACCGTAATGTCGCATAAAATTTAAGCTTCGGTTCAATACCGATGATGCCACAAACCTGAGCATACGACCGCAATGTCGCGTATACTTTAAGTTCCGGTTCAGTATCGATAAGGGCCCAAACTCGATCTACTAACCTTAGTGTCGAAAAGCTTTATGTCTCGATTCCATATGATGTATGGATTAGTCGTGTGCTATGTCTGGTTAGGTTGGCCTCTCCACCACCGACATTGTAAGTTCGGTTAGGTCGGCATTGCCACCACCGACCCAGTCAGCCCGAGATCATATCTCGGCTTTAAGCCCTACGAGGTAGACAGTTGAACCCGCGAGGTCGGACTTCCCACCCCAAGTAAAACCAATCTCTTGATTGGTAAAGATTGATCACCTGATCACGCTAAAAATCTGATTGCTTGATCGGTAGCATGCAAATCCTCTATCATGTTAGAGGTTCGATCTCTTGATCGGAAAATTTAGATCTTGTAAATTCTCAAAGTCCTACAAGCTAGGCAAATCGACCATCGACGCTATGAGTATGGTCCAGTGCATTGGCGTCATGAGCTCGACCTTGTCATTTCCCGATCGCAATCAAACTGAAAAAGCAAACTCGAGAAGCTATAATCGTATCTACTCTCTTATGCTACCGATTCTCGCAACTAAGGGAGTAAGGGGCTACACAATTTCAATGTTAAATGTTCATTGTAACACCCCCTAAAAACAAGCTATTTAAAAGCCTTAAACATGCAGATAACTGAGCTAAACAACAAACACAGCGGAAGACTGAAAGATAACTAGATAAACTTAAATCCAAAACACGGGGTGTTATGCCACGTTCACCAAAAGGATAAACGCTACGGCAATATCTGCAATGTTTACATCTAAATCCATAGTCTCAAAGGGCTACAACTAAACTGGCACACAGGCCACAAAACAAGAGGGAGAAGCTACACTAGCATGCACTCGACCGCGCACTCGTCTAGACATCACCTGAAAGAACACAATAAAACATGGGACGACGCCCGGTCAGCGAATAATGCTGGTAACCCACCAATACATGTGAAATAACATACATAGATAAGGTATAAGTTGTAAAGCCATTTTCGAAACGGAATACATATATATAAGTACAAAACCAAGAGCAATAGTCAACACAAGACTCAACACTCTCAACAAGGATACGGGAACACATCCCAAAACCACAAAGGATAACCACAACACAAAGGATAAAGACAAGACCGATGGAAACACATGCCTTTGTGACTACACACGTCACAAGAAGAGAACTCACAACAACGGCTACACAAGCCCTCGTGACATCACTCATCACGAGTTGATATGCCTTCCTTATGCCCGGTTCCAACCTTATGGCTACCCCCAACCTTATATCTAGCTAGTTCCAACCTTTACCTCTGGACCCCTGTACACCAAGTCCAACCTTATTCCTCCGAGGACCGTCGTCCCCTCTCCAACAGATCTCCAACAGAACCACCGATTTCATAGTACACGAGGGTACCGATCACACACACGGTAACACATGCCACCCAAGAATCACGTGAACCTTACACAAAGGTCACAACTCCATAATCACGTCACGGCTACCACGAGGACCGCTGCAATACCTTGGTGACTAGTGTCCCATACCACTAATCGTGCAATCCAGGTAAAGCCACACACACATCACATCACAACAGGAATCAATCAACGGATCACAACGAAGATATGAAACCATACTCAATCAAGGAATGGATCACAGTCCAACAACAACGACGATGAATAACACAAGTTATCATCAACCAATAGGAAGGTACAAACAACGCACACGCTAGCATTTAAACACCGAACTAGCATGCTTATCAAACGGGTAAACCAAAGATAGTTCCAAAGAACACTCAAGACTCATAACGGTTCAACGAATCACAATGTTGAACACTTAGCACGATTCACGACACCAAAACCTACATGGGATTCTACCCACGAGTAGTGCCCCGCCAGTGGTTCCGCCCGCGGGAACACACTCCCACAAGCCTAGTACCCGCGGGTGGTGCCCCGCCCGCCGTTCCGCCCGCTGGTACACGTCCTGTACCAAAACAATCCCTTCGGGGATTTTCAACACCAAGCTCAAATTCAAGTCCAAAACATGCCAAATCTCACCAAATACAACAAAATGACTTGAATCAAAGGAATAGCCAAGCAATGGCATACAAGAACCCTTAACACAAGCTCTAGATATACATTTTCACAAGATAATGCATAAACACTCACTTTTCATAGCAAAAACACATGTAGAATCCAAGAAATCACATATAGGCAAGGTTGCAAAACACGCTAGGCGCCGCCGATTTTTTGAATTTTTTTTTTTAAATTAAAAATTGTAAAATTTTAATACCTATATATCTAAAATGTTTAAAACTTAAAAGTCTTAAAACTTAAAAGTTAAAACTATTTAAAAGTGTAAATTATATAATGTATAGTAATATAGTATAGTACTAATGTACTATAGTTAAATAAGTTAATTATTTTTATTCATTTAATCCATATTCCATGTTCCTATACTCCTATTACTCTATTAGACTATTAGTCCACAACTCCATAGTCCAAACTTCATAGTTCATACATTCATACATTGAAATATTGAATCATTGATATTTGAATAATTTGATACAAATCATACAATCATACATTCATAGTTTCATACTACACACTTCATAGTTCATACATTCATACTTCAAGTCATCAAATTTAAAATAGTTCATAGACCATAGTTCATACATTAATACTTCATGAGTTCAAGTCATCAAATTTCAAACAAAGACACAAAGTACATGACAATTAAACACTAACAACATATCAAATATTCAAATGCAAGTATTCAACTTTCAAGGTGTTGTTCTTCCACTTGCCCATCTATCACTTGATTTTCATCATCTTCAAACTCAACCACCACATATTCTTCTTCTTCACTTTCGGATTCAAAGTTCTCTTCTTCAAGCTCCCTCAATCTAGAACTCCGTCGTGGTCTTAATGCGTCATCACCTTCCTCATTAGTAGCCACTTCATCTTCACCAACAACCTCAACTTCATCCTCAACAATCCAATCTTGTGCGAAGGTTGCATCACTACCAAGTAATATTTCAACATTTTGCTCTTTTTTCCTTTTGTTCATCAAGTTTGCATTGAATTGCACAAAGACTAGATTGTTTAGGTGATTAGATTCCAACCTATTTCTTTTCTTTGTATGTATCTACAAATATGCAAAACAAATGTCAAATATATCATTCCATCAAAAATAAAATACTAAAATAGAAAAGAAGTAAATAACTTAAGTAAAGATTTAAGTATTTAACTAACCCCTTCAAATGTACTCCAATTCCTTTCACAACCCGATGAACTTGAAGTAAGAGATAGAATTTTTATCACAATTGTTTGCAAGTTTGGAGTTGTCCCACCATAAGTTGACCACCACATTGCTACATCAAAATTGTATAAACAATATTAAGTATAAAAAATCAAAATATATAAAATTTTAATTTAAAATTCAAAACTAGTATGTAACTCATTTACCCGGATCATATCGCTCATTATTTGTCTCACATCCTTTGACCGCAAGTGTCTTCCCAAATACACCATCTTTCCTCTTGTAAATGGGAAATTCATCATTCAATACCTTGTTTTGCATTTCTAAATCGTCATGGTAATATGTTTCAAGAAACTCAATACATCCAAGAGAAACATTAACATCCAAATGAAGTCGAGGATCCTTAAAATGATAATAAGGATTCAACATGAAAGCCATCAAATGAAGAGGAGAATCTAGCCTATTGCTCATTTTTTCTTCGACTATCTTAATAATAGGCTCATAGTTTCTTACCACTTCATTGAATGCCTTCTTAATGTCCTCTTTGTCTTGCATAAGCTCACCATAAACAAATCCCATTGAAGGTTTCTTATCTTGATCAACAATACGAAGCACCTTCACCAACGGTGCAAAAACATTCAAGCATAATGTAACCCCTTGCCAAAATGAAGTATTCGTGACAGTAGCATAGGAAGCTTTCCCTTTAACTGTGTTGGAAAACTTACATTCCTCCCATTCATTGCTACTAAACATAGCCTTTAATTCAATTTTCTTAGCAAGTAAACTCTGCAAAGTTAGAAATGCAGAAGCAAACCTAGTCACACCTGGCCTAATTATGTCACGTTTCTTTGTATAGGTTCTCATCATTGCCAATGTTTTGTGGTGTGCATAGATAAAGATAGTTAAGCTCTTTGCTTGATCAAGAACTTTTTTGAACCGGGGTAAACCTGCAAAGGATTCAAGTATGAAGTATGAACAATTACAAGATTTAAAGTTAAAGAATAAAGATTAAAGAATAAAGATTTAAAGATTGAAAGGTACCTGCAATGCTTTCAAGCATTAAATTAATGGAATGAGTTGCACAACATGTCCAAAATAGCCGTGGCCTCTTCTCCTTCAACAATTTAGCCGCTCCCATGTTGTTTGCGGCATTATCTATGACAATTTGTACAACATTGTTCTCTCCAACTTGTTCAATCCCATGCTCCACATATTCAAATATAAACTGACTTGTGTGTGCCTCACTTGAACATTCTTTAGAAGATAGAAAAACAGTGCCTAATCTTGAATTTACACACAAGTTCATGACGCTTCTTCTCTTCCTATCTGTCCATGCGTCAGTCATAATTGAGCAGCCATTTTGTTTCCACAACGCCTCATGTTCCTTCAAACTGTCCTTGACGCGATCAACCCCTTTTTTCAAATATGTTTCACTCAGTTCATATCTATTTGGTGTCTGCGCTCCCGGACCGAATTGACCAGCAGCTTCAATCATCAACTTGAAGCTATCTTTCTCAAGAACATGAAATGGAACAGCTGCTTCATACGCCCATCTACATATGTACTCTTTCACTCGGTTCACCCTCTCCTTGTCAAATGCCTCAATTATACGTTGTTGCGCTGGGCCCCTTCTTGAACTCAAAGAAATTTCAGGATTGATTTGGTTAGCAAGCTTATCCATAGGGCCAATTGGACGAGGTGGCCTCATTTGTTCAGACTCTTGCAACTCATCAACATCAATACTATTTGTAGGCGTATTACTCAAACTCTCATGCGAACCAATGTTTACCTCCGCTCTTATATTAAGTTCTTCAGCTCTCTTGTTCTTTTTTTTTTTGTTCTTCGCCATAATGAGAGCATCTCTACATTTTATTTGATCTTCTTTTGAAGCTATGGGGCATTTGCTAACATTCCCTGAAATACCGGCAATATGCTCTTTGATCCGATAAACCCCACCAGACATTACTTTCTTGCACAATAGACATTTAATCTTGTCCAATGACTTAGTAGGATCATTAAGTACCCCATAGTCCCAACCTACATCATTGGACTTTCTTTTTATTGTAGTTGACGTTATAGATGGTTGAGAAGATCCAACACTTTGAGTTTGATTTGGTGGTTGAGAAATATCATCACTTCCCAATTCCATTTCCTAATTAATAATAGTATAATACTTAATACTTAGCAAATTAGCAATTGAATAACAATATAGGCATATAGCAATTGAATAACAAATTAGCAATTGAATAGCAATATAGGCATATAGCAATTGAATAGCAAATTAGCAAATTAGCAATTGAATAGCAATATAGGCATATAGCAATTGAATAGCAAATTAGCAATATAGCAATTGAATAGCAATATAGCAATTGAAAATTATTAATTATATAAATATATAACTATATAACTATATAAAATTATAAATTATAAAGATTAAAACAGTAAAATACTAAAATAGGGCTTTAGGCTTACCTGGAGTGGGATTGTGAGAGGCTGTGTGGCGCTGTGTGGCGGCGTACGGCGGTAGGCGGAGGCGGCCGGTGGAGGCGGGAGCGGTGTGCGGCGATCGTGCGCGTGGGTGTGCGGACTGCGGAGGCCGGAGGTCTGAATAGCTGCAAGGGTTTCTCCGTTTCTGGTCTTCAATGAAGTCTGTAGTAGAATCGCGATTTAAATTGCGTTTTTTTTTTTTTTTTTTTTGGGTTAATCGCCAAAACGACGTCGTTTTGGCGATTAACCCAAAAAAAAAAATAAAAAAAAAATAAACTGGGGTTCGGCCGGCTAGGCGGCCTGCCGCGGAGATGGCCGATTACGGCCTTCTTCGCGGCGGCGCAATGGCGCCTAGCGCCTATGCGCGATTTTTGCAACATTGCATATAGGTAAGCAAAATAGGTTTTGTAGAGCATGGGTTACCTCTTGTAGACCAAAGACTTCACTTTACACCTCAACAAGCTCCTCTCAAGGCTCACCTTCCAAACCCACTTCAAGAACATACCAAAAGATCATAAAGATCCTATCTTTAAGAAAAGACACCTTAGATAAAACCAAAAACACAAGATGAACTTAGATCTTACCGTCCTAGATGCCCAAATATAAGAAAGTTTGAATCTTGGAAGCAACTCTTGATGTTTTGGCAAGGTTCCAACTTGGCTTGGAAGAAAAGCTACTCACCTTTTTCGAGAGAAGGTGGAGCTAGATTTTTAGAAAAGTGTAAGGAGAGAATGAAGGTGGTCAACTAGGTTAGGTTATAATACCAACAACAAGTGAAAGGTCAAGAATACCCTTACTAACATTTAGGAAGTGTAAGGAACAAGGGAACTCCTTACAAAGCTCAATGTACAACTTTGACTTTGGGGTTGACTAGTCAATTACTAGTCCCCAACTATTAAATTTCAAGAATTTAAGGAATTAAATTACAAATTGAAATAGGATTAATTACTCAATTAATCCCTTAATTGAATTTGGATTTCGGGGTGTCACATTCATAATGAATGCATTGAACATTCACGAATTGCATTATTTAGATTCTTTTAGTTTCAGAGTACACAATAATTTCATTAATTACAATTTTAGAACTCAACGTTTACAATTTTACAACTTGATTGTAGTATATTTTTAATCAAAGAAATACCTGGAGTATCAGGTTATCGATCCACAGGGAAGTGGTTATATTAAGCACTAGTTACTAATCTATTCTTATGAAGCTAATCCTAACGGTGATAATGGATGTTTGCATAAAATAATTAAAATAAAACAAAGCAGCAGTTCTGTGAAACAGTAGAGAGAAGATGAGATTCCTGGGTTTCAAGTATTTAATCACCTAGTGCCAAATCTATGGTTTATATTAAATCTGGGTTCATACGAGTGTGAGGATGCAAAGTGGTATAGAGCTGCTCCCGCAGTCCCTAACACTAGTGAATCTCTACTCCCGTGGTATAAACACCCAATAAAACAAGAACATGCTTCATAATAAATCCCTAACTACTACTATCTCCCGATGCGCAATAATCAAGAATTAAATTCCCTAACAAAATTACCATTTCTCAAGGTGCAACAGTTAGGTGCAATTGTGTGTGCCCTAAATTATGCCCAACTCTCATTGTGACACAAAGATTGTAACACCCCCGATTTCACCATATTTTTAAAACTTAATTGCAAGAGATACGCAAACTAATCATCTATTAAACATAAAGTAGAAGCAAGTATAATCGGGAGTATTATGCCACATCTTACAATACTAAAGATGCACAGGCGGGAAAACTAAACAATAAAAGCAAGTCAATAAGAGTCAAGGCACACAGGCCGCTCAAAAGGCTCACAGGCCATAAAAAACAAACGTCTAGACAAGGTGACTAACTATCTAACTACTTCCCGACTGAGGTCTCACACTACCAGCTGGTTTCGGGCTTGCTGAAGTCTTCCTCTAGGCACGCACTCAAAGGACCGGTGACCTTTCTTACCACAAGCAAAGCACTCTACCGGCTTCCCATGACAGTCCATGCCGGGGTGGCCACTTCCACACTTCTCGCAAACGGAGCGCCTTCCCTTAACCTTGTTGTTCCGGATTGGTTGAGGAGTCTTATCACTCTTAGAGTTGTTCCTTTAAAGGCTTCGAGATGGTTCGGCAGCGGTAACTGAGAAACTCATAACCACATCCGCAACACTTGTTTCAAAACTCCTCTTACGGCTCTCCTGGATTCCTTTCTGAACTTGCTGCACCCGGTAGAGGTCGGCTGCACAAAGGTAGGCCTCATTGAGAGTCTTGGGCTTTGACACAGTCAAGGCTTTCCTAGCCTCGAAGTTGAGTCCGGCCACAAACTTCTCAACTTTACTCTCCTCGGTAGGTACCAAAACAGAGGCGAAACGGGCTAACTCCAAAAACTTCTTATGGTACTCCATTACCGACATGGATACTTGCTTAAGGTGGAGAAACTCCTCGTACTTTTCCGCCTTGACATGAGCAGGATAGAACCTGTAACACCCCAGATTTTCAAGATATTTAAAACTCACAAAATAAAGGTGAAATCTCATTAAATCCCAAAACATAAAACAAGAGTGCGGGGTGCTATGCCACAACTGAGCTAGAGAACTCAGGTGCACAGGCTAACTAACTAATATCCTCAATAATGTAAATGCATAAACATGGCATGCAGGCCGAAAGGGAAACTATCTACTTCTACGTTCCAAGTTCTAGCGCGCTCCAGTGACTTATTCTTCAGTGCCTGAAAGCCAAATATATCTGTTCAGCGAGAGATGCTGGTAACCCACTCCAACGCGTTGAAATACAATACATATATATACATATATACATAGTTATATGAAAAGTCATTTTGCAGCATGAAGATATATCCTACGAGACTCTAGTTTTTAAATCAGGGAACCGACTCGACAGATAAGGGTACACACAATCAATAGTCATAATCAAGCATAGACAATTCTCACATAGGGAACAGTTATAGATAAGCAAAACCAACGATCACAATTAAGCATTACTAGTAAGAGTCCTATGGTCACGTTTCCATAACAGTCACACCATCAATTCTTCTCATCTCATCACATAGCACACTTTGTTGGCGCCACAGGACCAATCGCATGCCCATATATGAGGGTCAGCGCATATAGCTCTGACACGGCCCCGCAGCACCCTGCCCCGTCTCACATTACGGAGGAGCCGATCGCAACCGACTAATGAACCGCAGTTCTATATAATATTTATATACCTGACCGGTCTCTACCAGCCTGGTTAACAGTTGGGATGGTTCTCAGCCCATCCGACTGCCCGTATAGTGGAACTTAGTCCTATATAATATTTATATACCTGACCGGTCTTTACCAGCCTGGTTAACAGCCGGTATGGTTCTCAGCCCATCCGACTGCCCGTATAGCCCGATTGATCTCAACCAATCGGGGTAACATGCACACATAACACATAGCAAGCACATGCAACCCATATTAACACATTGGGAAGGGGAAAACGTATAACGAAACCTATGCGTGGTCATCCACAACTAGGAATACTCCTAAGGGGTTCATACTTCTTATACCTAGGTCAACGGGATAACAATTCAACTAGCATGCAATATATAAGACTCATACAACCTACGAACGGTACCCGAAATATCAAACTAGACATAGGCACGATAGACGGAGCCCGTTGGCACACCACGGGGGTCGGGGAAACATCAAACGGGGAAGCCGAAATCCCGAGGTAGGGTGTAAACCAGCGGGTAGCCGGTGGGTGAGTGTTCACCCGCCGGCGGCAACTGTTCCGGGCAGCGGGTACCCGGCGGCCCGCTGCCGGTGATGCCCAAATAGGCCGCGGGTAGGTGGCGGGTCCCCTACCCCCACCTACGCCCCACTGACTCTTTTCATCACAAAACGCCCCGGGAACCTTCGTGGAACCCGGAACCATGCTTAGACACTTCCGAACGCAATTGATAACACACATAGACAATTAACGGATCAACATCAAGAAACAAACGGCACATAACCTATCATGCTTTTCTAAACATAATAAACACCCAATCATGCGAAATCCCACCCAATATACCAAGAATAATACCATACGAATTCCATGATATAACCTAGGGTTCTAATTATTTTTAATCAACAAGAACACAATTCATCTTCCCGAATCAAGATTCGGTAGGAATATCACATAACTATCAAGAGCCTCATATAATCATTAAGAACATCAAGATCACCATGTAATTATCAAGAACATCATTTTAATCATCAAGAACGCCATAAATATCAAGAACCCATCATCGTCAAGATCATCAAGAACATCAATGGAATCATAAGACCAAGTATCAATATAACGAATCATCAACATACAATAATATGGGGGATCCTAAGGGGGAATCATAACTATGAAAATAGGTTTTGTTGAGACATGGGTTACCTCTTAGCCTTAATTAATTCCTCGGCTATGAAGGGTCTTTCTTTAAGCTTTCTTGCTTTCTTGATTTCTTCTAGGGGGATTCTTGGAGCTCTTTGGGGTGGTGGGCGTTGTTCTTGTGGTGGGGGGTTTCTAGGTGCCTCTTAAGTCCCCTATTTATATATTTAGAAGTCCTAGTTAGGAACTAATATTATGGGCTTGCTAATTCTATTTCTTTTGGGACTAAGGATTGGGTTTAGGGATAAGGGCCC